TTGACGGATGGGATGTGCAGATGGCTGATGCAGGCATATATGTACACCTTGTTGGGTCGAGCTTCCGTCCGAAGCCATTCCTGAGGATGACAATGAACGATGGAATTAATTCAAAAGACCTGTGGTTCGTTTGGTGAAGGCTTTGCACGGTCATCCTGATGCTGGTACATTTTGGGAACAGCACTGCGATGAGTCGGTGCGTGCAATGGGTTTTCAGCCGGTTGGTGAAGAATGGCCTTCTGTCTATACCCATCCTGAACTACAGTTAGTTCTTGTGGTCTAGGGGACGACTTTAAGATGGCTGGTCCAAAGAACAACCTCAAAAAGGGTTGGGAGCTGCTTCGTGAGAAGCCTGATCATTGAGCCGGAAACCGGCCTGGATTTATATCTGGGATGCAATCAGTTCAAAGGTACTGTGGTTCTCGGCAACGGCCATAAGGTCACCACTGCGACGTACGACATGGAGCAGTTCCTGCGCGCTTGTGTCGATCGCTACCTTGAAGTAGCGGGCAACGTTGAGTTGAAGAAAGTTCCTACACCTGGTCCCCATGAAGAGACCAAGGATCACCTGTCAAGGGCTCCGATCCAGGCCGGACCGTCGGTCGAATGCAATTGGTGTGGAAACAGAGTTCCCGCGAATGGTTATGCAACTCCATCATGCCAAGCAGGAGGGACTTCGGAAGGAGCTCATCCGGAGCCTGTTCGTGGACAAATCTGCGGCAAGTGTGCTCATGAAAATATTATATGGTGCTAGGATAGCACGCTTTGACTTGCTCAGGCAGGTCAACCGTCTGGCGAGGAACATCACCAGGTGGACAACTGACGACGACAAGAAACTTCATCACTTGATGTGTTACATTCATCACACCAAGCACTGGAGGATGATTGGCTGGGTCGGAGATTCAGTCGAAGATATGTATTTGTATGCTGATGCTGACTTTTCTGGGTGCGCCGATTCTTTGCGGTCGACATCTGGCGGTCACTACAGGGCCCCAATACAAGATTTCCGTTGTCCGGAAGCTCTAAGCGACAGGGATGTGTGAGTCATTCCACCCCTGAACCTGAAATCGTCGCTGCCGATGTTGCAATGAGAGCTACGGGCATGCCTGCGCTCAGATTGATGGAGCGTATTTTGGGTAAGGAGCCGAAGTTTGTGTTCTTCGATGACAACAAGGCTATGATCAGTGTTGTTCGATCAGGCAAGAACCCTACTATGAGGCATCTGGAACGAAGTCACGGTGTTGCTGTCACATGGATGCATGATATTTTCAAGCGGGACTACATGTACCTAGCCTATGAGGTCACCGACCGTATGGCTGCTGACATCTATACCAAAGCTTTCAGTGATTCCAGAAAGTGGAAACAATTGCCGGAGCCGGAAATGTTGACCGACCCGGAAACCCTCGAGATGGTCACATCTTCATTTGACCCCAAGAAGGGAACCGTGCAGGCGGCCACTGGTTCGATCGATGGCATACCCACTTTTCCGTACACGAAGGTGCCGATATGCCTCCCAACCTTTGGTGGCAAGGGTTATCATCAAAGGAAGGCCTTCCAGCGAACCCCATGAGAAACCGCATCAACCGGAAACGGAGGAGGCGATATTCTATCCGAGAAAGGGGTTCCACAAGTACAACTACGCTGTGAACCTCTCCGAGATGGCTGATTTGGCAGAAGGAGGAGAACTCCACGTTGATCAGCTTGACCTACACACGAATCCCAACGGAACCATGAAGGAGTACAACAACATGCTTGATTCGTTTGGTGGAGCAAACCCATCTGTGATTCCTCAACCCGGTGATGAGGCAGTATGCGAAGGTGTGCAAGCACACACTGCCAAGGGGAGTACACTTGGAAGTCATGAACATGCAGAACAGAGACATGTTTTCCCTATTGGCCATACAGTGAGTACACTGCGTTTGGATCTCGCATTCACCAAAAGCACTGGTGAAGATCCTACGCCATCAAATCGGCCAAAAATGGGGAACCCTATTCCTTGCAATGGTGGAGGATGGGTGAACATCGACCACATCCTGAGCCGTGAGGACGCGTTCCCGCAGGATCGGTACAAGAAGAGCGACAAATTTCAAATCATCGCCGAGTGCGTCAGATCTGAGGATCGCAGAGCACGGAAACCGAGACTGCAGATTCTTGCTGCGAGATTCGATCAGGAAATCGACATTGAATCGATGACGGGTCTCATAGCGGCTGGATGGACAAAGGACAACATCGACTGGATTCGTCGCGAGCACGGCGGATGGTGGCAACTTATATGGTGCATTCGAGCATCGTCGGGACACTCGGATTTCGGTTTCGCTCGTCCTGCTGAACTTTGCAACATGTTGTTCCCGAACATGTCCGATCGCTTGGGCGGAGCATCCACGTGACAAAGCCATCAGCCCTGGAAGACATCATCTTGAGAGGTATCGTTCCTGGCGGCAATCACAGTGCGCGAAGATTGGCGGTACACTTTGGAGTATTTGCGCCTTGGGACAGCGAGAACATCTCGACCAAGACTGCAATGCACGATGTCAAAGAGGGAGATGACCTCATCGCCATCTACGCGCCAACAGAAGAATTGTCCGTGTACCAGTCAGGGCTCACATCCAAAGGGGACGATCGTCGCCTTCGAGACCATTCCCTTCAAAGAGATCAGGGCAATCTGGAGATTCAAGTCCGTGAAGCAAGGACCCGTCGAGAGCGAAATCTGTCCAGGGTTCAAGGACGCTGCGGGCGTGACCCCAGCGGACTTTCTTGGAAACCTCAACAGTTTCCTGGACGATGAAGACTCTGCGGATGCCGATCCTGAAGAAGATGGTCGTCACGGCGTGCGTCAACCTCGGAGTGCCCGAGACCTTGAACAAATCGTTGGTAGAGATCAGGGGCTTGCTCAGCAGATTCATCGTCTACCGCGAGGACGATCCATCAAGTATTTCCAACAGAGTATGCCCAGCATGCGCTGTCATCATTCCAAGGGGATTTTGCTACTGCGCGGCATGCGAATGCGAGCTCATTTCCACCGGCAAGTTCGTGATCCATGTGGATGACGACGAGCCCAAGCCATCCGACACCGCAACCGTGACGGAGGAAGTGAAGCAAGCTCAGCGAGAAGCAAAGAAAGATGCTGAGCGCATCGTCGCTGAGGAAGAATGACCCGACACCAATGAGATGAGTGAGGAACGGTCTGCAGGCAGGTCGTACCTTCCATCGGAAATCAGGACGGACATCGACGACGAAGATGCGGGAGTTTGTTCGGACAACCCTGAGGAGGATGCGGACGCAATTCACCTCCTGCAAGTCAAAGCCAGCGTTGACGAGTCCGGCGAGGCGTCATACCTCTCTGGCTTCATTGGCATCGTACTTTTCAAAGTGTGGAAGGTATTCGCCAAGAACGAGGCAGATGTGGTCAAGGAGGCGGGCAAAGGTAGCGGACTCTATTGTCCCTACATCGCAATCAATGGGAGGGACGATTGGATTTTCAACGAAGTCGACGAACAGAACATTCCAATCCCGCCCACCTACGACGAAGTCGCTGCGCTCCTAAATTTAGAAATGTGAGGTTCAAAAGCGCGAGCCACAGGGACGAAGAGATGTACTGTTGGTTCCTGAAGCTGAAAGGGCTACACATTATGTATCGGATTTGGACCGCCTGGAATATACTTGGTATCAAAGCAGAGCAGTTCAGAGGTGTCAGCCACCAGAAGGACATTGCCTTCGTCAGCGACACGATATTCCGATGCATTGCCCTTGGCCTCAATTGCGACTACATGACCTTCTACCGAACAGATGTGCTCATTGGACGCAAGTTCTTGAAAGTTGAACTTAAGGTGCCATCATTTGCCTTCAAAGCGTCAAAGAGGTCAACACTCCTCTTATCCAATGGTGCTTTACTCGCAGTATACATCTGCCCTCGCGCTACATCGATAAGATCAGTCGGACCGAGGAGACACCACATTCTCTGCTAGAAAGGTTCCGGTGGAGGGCGAGTAGAAAGGCCATCGCAGAATCATCATGGTGATCAAGCATTTCCATTACGATTTCTTCTATGTGGGGGATCAACTGGGATTTGCATTTTTACGCAATGGGATCGTGATACTCATCGTGCATGGTATCATGGTCAGCCCTTGTGGTACCGTCGAGCACGGTACCATTTGCATGAGACTTGCATTTGCCACCGCAGAATGTTAATGGTTATGCGATGCTGCAATTATTACTGGTTACAGATTGGTGATGGACTATACTAGTCATGGACATGGATATTCGTTTTCTGCAGACTGCTCTGGATCTGTACAATTGCCTTGTAGATAGCTTGCTGCATGTGCACCATTGCACATGAGATCCGGTACGTGACCTGTAGCATTCTCATTTCCTGTTAAGTTTACAGAACCTTGTCAAACTCGTGCAGAGACGTTTCGCTGAATTGAAAAAGATCGAGAAGCCGTGCGTCCATGCGTGTCGGCATGCGTTTGTGATTTGTTCCCGACCCAGGGATGAACCCAAGCCCGGGATGGGGGATGCTAAGAATCTCCGAGCCGCAGGCTAAAACATCCTAAGGGCAGGTTCTGAGGGTCACCCTGTTCTTTCCCCTCTTTTAAGGTCCCTCAAACCTGTGCAGAAATGGTGTTTTGTGCGCAGCCGACATGTACATGCGAATGCATCTGGCTCAAGACCTTGATAATAGATTCGAGGCAAACATCCAATATACAGCTGTGAAGCAAAGCAAAAGGTCCGTATTCCACCGTCGCATCGAGTCGTGAGACAGCGCAGACCATTTACCTTACAACCCCCTTTTACAACGACCACTACTATACGACTCCATTGTCGAGGGTATTGGTCACCCCACGGGATTCGAACCCCAACTGCCTTGTCATTGACTACGTGGTTGACTCGCCTCCTGGCAGGTTGTCAGAACTAGGGATTTTCTTTATGGAAGCCATAGGGGATGAGTTTTGTCGGAATTCCAACTTGTTCCCTGCCTATTGAACCTGCAAACTTGCGAGGCGTCCACGCCTTCGGCGTTCTGCTGGCAGTGATCTTTGATATCATCGATTGGTCCCGGAACCGTGTGGCCAAGTGACCAGGTTGCAACTCCCGGTCCATCGAATGCGTTTTGGGTCTTCTCGCCAAATCAGGATATCGTTCGACGGGTGTCCATCGGACGATATTTGTTGATGGTTTTGTCTCAAATCCGAATCGGACTCGTGTGTGGACACTGGGTGTCTTTTTGTGTAAAGCTCCTGGAATATTGGTTTATTAGTTCAGGATTGGCCACAAAATCGACTGAAGTCCATGACATGGACCCCCTCCCTCCGGAAAGAAACATGTCCCTGCCTGTTGGCTCGTTTTTGAGTGTTTTTGTGCCAGGGTCTTTGCGGTGAATTCGGGCTCGCTCTTTGCGAGGAGGCTGACAAACAGCTGGACCCAGCGAGCGTCCAACTCGGAAGCGCCGAGCGCAGTTCCGGAAGAGCCTGACGTGGAAGCGGTTCCACAGGACTGCCGGAAGGAAGTGAACCCTTCGGCGTGGGAGTAGTTTTTTGAGGGTGCCCCTTTGTGTGGTTTCAAAGGGAAACCAAATGGAAAACTACCAATTGTTGAGGCTCCTCAGTTTTAGGACGCACTCATGTGATTCTAATTTAGCGCTTGGGTTGGCGCAGACCTACAGAAGTTACCAACAACTTACTGACTTGGCTGAACACTCAAGTGCAACCTCCCTTCAGAGCTCCCCCCCACATTAAGTCTGAGAATAGTATGGCAGCAAATGGGCCGTATCACGGTTGAGGGAGGGTTCTTTGGGGTTGTTAGCATCCCTCAAGCATCGGCCCCGGCGACCCAAGGCAATGGAGCAACGGGAGACCAGTTGACGAATATAATAATGATTGAAAATGAGAGGGTGGGGTGGGGTGGCGCAGCCAATTTTATGGGGGCGGGGGGGGGGGGTTCATATTCGGATTCCTTGAACAAGGGAAAAATGACCCTCTTGTTCATACGCAGGGTGGATGAATCCGGGGCAAACCTTGCTCAGGCCCTTTCAGCCTCTGGCTGTGGTGTGTGAATTGCCGGGCTGGGCGTGTTTGCAACGTACGAGACGCACCAAGCCTTTCCAATTTGGATGCCGATCACATCGGGAGGCCTACAAGATGGAGGTGGCCATTGCGAACACCAAGGATGGGCCAGTTCCAGAGGAGGGGGTCGGGCGCGAGGGTACTTTCAATAAATTTCAGCCGTTCGGCACAAGGAAGAGTTGCGCTCGTACTTGAGAGTCGTGAGGCCATAGAGTTGGCCCCGAGTTGAGAAGTTTGAGTCGGCAGGATGCAGAACTTACTGACAAGCAAGCCGCGTGGATCCCAGCCCTTAAAGTAGGTGGCCAGTTATTTTCGTCTTGATTTTTAAAGGGTGGCTCCCTTGCCTACCTATACAGGCAAGTGGATCCACTGGGAAGGGTATGAAAGGTCTTGCTGCCTCAAAATGACGAATGCTTCAAAGATTGATACTTGAGACAACTCCTACTTTGCTCGTCTCGATGCAGGAGAAATCAACATGTCGGGTTGACGGGGCAGGGGGGGGGGTTGCCCGGACTTTCATGCTGCCCCGCGAATGCCGATGCTCAGGGTGTTCACGGCGGCTCCAAGTGGCCCCGGAATAGACACCTCGTAGGTCTCTGAGTGAATCTACTCCGATGCAGAATTATATATGTAAATGGAAGAGGTCGAAGACAAAGTGTGTAAGCAGTGTTGGTCATGTTTGGCTTCATGGAAAGCACACGGGTCCATGTTTCCAGCGCATCGAGGCGTTTCAAACTAGCTGATCCGGAGCCCGTAGCCCCGCACGCCATGTGACCTCTCCGCTATCTGCGCGCTCTGCGCGACTGCGCAGTCCTATTTGCTTATCCGACACGCTGCCACTTTGCCGCGAGACCTGGTGGCTAAGAGGGGTTGGGGCCTTCTTGCGTTTGAAGGGGCTACCCGTATGCTGGTCTTTGTCTCCGCTGCGCTCTCGGCACCGAGCAGGAACGGAAGTTCTGCCAGCAAGTTATCAGCGCAGCTCATTGACTTGTCTGCTTCGCATGCACAAGGCAGCCCGGACATTCTGTTGGTCTCTCACTAAGAGAGTCAAACCACAGTCTTGGGGCCTGCCTGGAGCACATGAAAATGCTGCGCCTGCCATCGCCGAGTATTCGAATCTGAGATTCCAATGAGCGAAGTCGGGCATTTGCAGGCTTTCCAGTGATCCCCCCAAAGCCACGATTTACTGCTATTCGCATAGGCCGCATAGGATTTGCGCAATTCCCAACCCACGTCCAAGAGTGACCATCCTTCGGTCCAGGAACCCCCCCCCCCGGCAACCCAACGTGTTGCCTATGTTGCTTTGCTCTTTCGCTGTGCCTGATATCCGCACAGGTTGGCATCATCAACTCACGCAGATCTGCAATACTTCAATCTTGACCGGCCAGATTTTAACGTAGATGTTCCGCAAGAACGGTATTAAAAAACAAAAACAAATCCTGCGCACACCCTTTCAGTGAGAGGATTTCGTGGACCTGGACAACGTTGAGGGGGCGGTCAAGGAGCCAGTTCCAGCGGAGATCCTTGTGACGCTTCGTCCATTCTTGTCAAAAGCTGCCAGGGATGGGAAGCCTGACTTACCCCTAGGGTTCCTTGCCGTTCACCCAGTTTGGATGATTCACATCCTTAGGTTAATAATGGTGGTCATATTAACCCAACAGTAGTTTTAATGGCGGCAACTGAACCCTAGAGTTACCTCAACGGTTGAGGTGTGTCTTCGGAGGAGTCCGTAGAATTATTGATGAAGTCAGTGATTCGAGCGTTGTGAAGTTCACTTGGCTGTGGCTCAAAAAAAGTACCTAAACGCTTCGCGTTGCCCGCCTCCGCCAGCATGGCTTTGTTTGAACAATCTGGTTGCTGCTGACCTTTCTAGTTGACCAGCTTCTGGGAGGCAGGCGGCAAGGGGGGGATTGACCGGAGTTGGACTGGTTTCCAGAAGGGATCCGATTGGGTTCTCAAGGGGAATATGACCGGTTTCTAGGAGGATTTGACCGGAGTTGTTTTGAGGTTGACTAGCTTCTGAAATTTGACCGATTTCTAGAGGGGATGTGATCGGTTTCCAGGGGCTTTGGCCGGCTTCTAAGGGGATTGGAGTGTGCTTGAGCGGCTGCAAATGTTGAGGGCTTGGGATCTTTTCTTCAAGGGGCTTGCCAGCTGGAGCATGGGTTTGGGTCGCGCGACTGGGGGCTGGGCGGGTTGTAACCCACAATGATTTGCACGAGAAGTTTGATTGCTGTAGATTGCGGGGAACGGATCGTATGGCTTGTCTGGTTGCAAGCTTTTGCCGTGCTTTGAGATGTTGCGATTGCGTGTGCGCGCGAGGTTCGGTTCAAGGGTTGCTCCAAGACTCTCATAGATGACCAGAACACACAGAATAGACCACGTGGTTTTGCGCTTGTTTCCGTGCACCAGGGGGCGAAATCGACACTTCACCCTTTTCCCGCATCCTGTGCGACCAACTCAAACTTTCGAGGCCGTGGCTTACGACTCACGATGCTTGCATAAAGTGAAACAGTTGCTGAGTGCTGCGACCGAAATGACCAAACCTGGATCTCCATATTCTGCCCTCCATTTTTTCGAGTGGTTCCGTCGTGATTCAATGTTTCCGAAATTTTGGCGACCTTGCCAAGGGTTTCAATTTGTTTTGGGTTCTGGCAGTTTATGTCTTGTTAGTGGACATTGCCCTGACCGTGGCTATTTCGGACCTTCTGGAGCACACTGCATCTGAGCGCATCAGCGAATTGGAGGCCCGCAGCAGGCTCGACCTATCTAACCAAACCAAACGAGAGTGATATAGTTGTGCCACGACTGCGGGAGACTAGCCAAGGACTTGTTCCTTTCAGCCTCCCAGTCACGACCCCCTCACGCGTGGCAATTCAATAACTCAATAGAGGAGTTGTCACCACTGGACTCGGGCACGAGTTTTTCGCTACTGCCGGTTTGCAACGCCTGCTTTGCTTTTGGTTTTGAATACGTGAGGAGGCCAAGACTGAGCCAATTCCAGCGGAGACCACTTTGGAGACCGTTCTGACTGTGCCAGAGGAGCTTTCTCCGGGCGCGTCGGAAGCCTTACAACGTTTGAGCGGGGCAAGTCTGTAGGATCCCAGCCGATCAAAGGAAATTATATGAAATCGTGTTTGGATCGCGAAACAAGTATGACAAGGGAGCAAGGGAAGAACCTGTTGGTTTGATTGCTGCAGATTTCGGGAATCGAGCGTGGTTTCTTTGGTCGCGCGCGTGCTGTGAGATGTTGCGATTGCTGTGCACGGGAGGTTCGGTCAATAAGGCATCTATGACCAAAGCACAAAGAATAGAAAATAGAACACGCGGTTTCCGCTTCTTTCCCTTGACCAGAGGTGTCAAGGGCTTTGGAACAACCCTGTTGAACCACCAAAAAATCATTGGGACAAGCCTTTGTTTTCCTAGTGGAGAGTTGAAGAGTACTGTGACCAGGATTGACAAAACCCGGCGTGGCAAGCCCCCCGTATTCTGGCCACCCATACTTTTTCCGTAGTTTCCTAGCGTTGAAAGCGACCTCACAGAGGCTTTGGTGTGGTTTCGTTCTGGAGCACACTGCATCTCTGAGCGCGTGGGCCCGCAAAAAGTTTGACCTATCTAACCAAGCCAAACGAGAGTGATATAGTTGTGCCAGGACTGCGGGAGACTAGCCAAGGACTTGTTCCTTTCAGCCTCCCAGTCACGGCCCCCTCACACGTGGTGCAATTCAATAACTCAATATCAGAGTTGTCGCCATTGTACTTGCTTCGGCACGGGCTGCTCCCTGCAAGCATGCATGTCTTCCAAACCCAAAGTTGTTTCCTTTGGGTGCAGTGGGTCGATTGGTTTCTTTCCGATGTTGGCAGGAGACGTCGGTCCGGGCTCCACCAAGCTTGCCAATGACGCCGCAGGCGGGAGAGCGCTTAAGCAGCTTAAGCATATCAAGGGCCTGCGTTGAGCAGCGTGGTTTGCGCGTGTTCAAAGTTGGGCCGTGGCAAGACGCCCGTCGTTCGCCTATCTGGGTTGCCCGGCTTGTAGCTCTATGGCTCCTCCGCCACGAGCCAGGATTCAATCCTTGCGGCAGAGTTTGTGGCCCAAATGTATGGCCATGGGTAACATGTGAACATCCCAATTCCCACTAAACCAGACTAAAATGGGTGGTGTTGGTTTTGACCCACAGCCTCTGTTCGAAGAGGACACCCTTGAGGATTCAGCCGCATGACGTACGCAGAGCAAACACACCATGTTGCAGGCAGTTTGGGACACCAATCTTCGAGGTGCGTGAGCCGAAGGCAACTCCCACATGTTCCGTAGCCCTGGAGAGTTGCGGTTGAAAGCAAATCAACAATTGAGACCCCTGACATGGGTATGTAAAACATAGAACAAGGCATGAGGATGGCATTTGGGTTTGCTTTGGTGGGAAGCCAAAGGAAAAAACAGTCCTCATTGTTTCCACGACTATCGGGAATTAGAATTGAGGGTGGTTACATTCCAAAAGTTGTTTGCGTTGCGCGGCGTTGTTCTGGGGCAAATGTTGGTCATTTCCGGAATAGTGTAGAACGAATCCTTGCCTGGAATCTTTATGACCCTTTGCAAATTTGCATCACAGGGGTGTGTCTTTTGTGGAAAATACCCATGTTGTGCTGTTTGAGGTTCGAACGGAGGCCAACAGGAAAACCGATGCCATTTTGGGTGATCTAACTTTACAAAAGGTACATTTGCGTATATTTGGAGGAAGGTAGACACATTGTGCGCAGGTGGTGGGAGCAGCACGAGAGGACAGCGAGGCCGGAGTTAAATATATAGACATGTGGGTGCTTCTTTTTTCAGGTATCGCCCCCCCCCCCAATGGCACACAGTTTCCCCCTCCCCCAATGGCACACAGTTTTAAGTTTTTCCCCTGTTGGGTTCAAACCTCAAAATCCACAATCAAAGGGTAGCCTCAACAATTTGTCGGAGACACCCGTGATAAGATATCAAGATATTCTCAACTTTTGTTTTTTGCCAGTCTCCGGCTTCCGTTTTCTATGTTCTCAATTGTTGATGTTCTCAACAGACTCGTTTCCTATGGACAAGGGGCCTGTATACATAATATGATAATACTTTATATGTATATATATATATACATATATACATATACATGCAGAATAATAATATATATATATATATACATATACATGCAGAATAATATATATGTATACATATATATATATATATGTATACATACATACAGCCAATTCCTGGGGTTTGCCCGGACCCGCAACGTCAGCGCCACTGTCTCATCCCAAGCACCACCAATTGTCCACAACAGGTGGTTCAGCAGGATTGCCCTAAGCCTTAAACACAACAGGAGGTTCAAGAAGGCTGCCCTAAACCAAAAACCTAATTCTGAACCTTAAACCTTGACCCTAAACCGTGAACCCTAAAACCAACCCTTAAAATCCTTAACCCTAAACCTTAACCCTGAAACAAAAAACCTAAACCTTAACCCAAAAGAACCTTAACCCCAAACCTTAACCATAAAATCATAAACCCTAAACCTGAAACCTAAGAAACACATACCCCTAAACCTGAACCTGAAAACCATAAACCCCAACCTTACCCTAAACAATCTTAGCCCTAAGACAATAAGCCCTAAACCTTAACCCTAAAACCATAAACCCAAAACCTTAACCCTGAAACCATAAACCCAAAACCTTAACCCTGAAACCATAAACCCTAAACCTAAACAGTAAACCCTAAACCTTGATCCTAAAACCACAAACCATAAACCCGAAACCTTATTTCCGAAACCACAAACCCTAAACCTAAACCCTAAAACACATAACCCTAAACCTTGATCCTAAAACCATAAACCCTAACCTGAACCCTAAACAATCTTAACCCCCAAAACAAGAAACCCTAAATTTTAACGTTAAAACCATAAGCAACCGGGTTCTCGTCTCTGTTAGAAAGGAGAGTCATGACGTTCCCACTCGCCACTACTTTTGTTGCTCAAGCCCACTCATGGCATCATGAAACGTTGTTGCCCACCTTGAAGGGAACACAAACCTCAAGTCAACATACATACATACATATATATATATATATTGGTGTGCACGCTTGTACGCCTGGGCAAACCCCGGGCGCTGCGTATATATATATATATTTATTTATTTATTTATTTATTTATAAACATGCTGCATATATATATATATACGTATGTCCACGAGTCTTCATGGGGAGGGAACCCGCCCCGTTTACTTCGCAGCTGGCCTAGTTTCACGGGATGATAGTTGTAAGCTATCCTGTAGCAAACCACAAATCAATCAGTTTTAACAAGCACGTGGCCCGAGTTGCTCACCTTGCAGATCTGGTCAGTAGGGACCTGGATTCACGTAAGGAAGACTCTTTTGTGTATCGCATTCTGATTTGAACGGGACATGACGCCCAAGTTGAAGTAGCCAGGAAGACTTGGGTACCACTTGGGTTTGCGTGTTTTCCGGAGGGTCCGTTTTGGGCTGGCAGACGACAAAGGAAAAATGGATATTTTGCGGGCTATCCTTTTTGGACACAAATCTATCTTGCCTGGAAAACAAGGCCTCCGTCAAAAGCCTGCGGATGCCCTGGTGTAATTTGCGCACTTCCAGCCAGACCCTAGACTCTTTGCGGTAAATGTCCTATCAGAGAACCTTTCCGGATCTCGCCAAAGCCGACTGGTTGAAAGAAAGGATGAAGTTGACTCCCGCCCTGAGTTCTTGGGCTTTAAACTTTTTTGGTTGGAACAGTTCGTACTTTTGTTGGCCAATCCACGGAAGTGAGTTGAAAGGAGTGTGAGATCAACCCATGTGCTTGTTTGAGACACACCAAGCTCGACCTATCGCCAGGTCGCGCCGATATGAAGATCATGCGGTGCCTGAAGGTTCACACAGTTTGTTTGTGTCTCCAGGCTAATCCAGCTACATCAGCCGGTATGTGCTCCCAGCTGAAAGCATGGTTATACTCTCAGAAGTCAACTTTTTACCCCGATTCCCGGGGTGCTTGTACATACCCCTTTTACATACCCCTTGGACAAATGAACCCAAAAGGGTCGCTGATGTTCATACCCCCTCTCCCCGAAAGGGGTATATACCCCCTATAAAGTGGGTTGGAAGCCACGGAAGCCAAGGGGTATTAACAAGGGGTATGTACTTCCACCCTTAAACCGATGTGCAGCACATGCTTAGCAGTTTCAAGGATTTGCTTTTCATTCCACATCATTTGCCCAAAGCGGACAGCCAGAACGACAGCCTGCAGACAGATTTTCAAGCTGGCGAATGTGTCCCCCAAGGGGTCTACTAACGCTATGCTTGCGCCTCCGCGAATGTGGAGATGGTGGCGTGATATCCATGTGAGCAACAGGCAATACACTAGTTTACTGTACTAACTTACTGCAGCACCAGTTGTGGGGATTTGGGATGGGGGGCCCCAGCAAAGATTGAATTGTTTATCCATAAGGGCAAGCATTGCTCATGTCACATCGGTCCGCACGCTTTGTTTGCCCAAGAACATGATATTCAGACAGAGGAGCGCGCCTCTTACAGTGGCTTGATGGATGCGAATGATGATCGTAATTTTGACGGGGTCCAGTCCGGGCAACATGAGACATACTGTAGATGGTGCCCTAGGGGTTTAATGCTTTTGAACTTGTGCCTCAAGTTCACGCCTAATACGACCCAGCACCACAGGTGTCCTTTTCAGTCAGTTCAGTGCTTTGCGCAAATGGATTTCGTTGGCAATCCGTGGTTTTCGCCTTTTATGTTCCATGGAAGGCGGTGTTTCGGAAGGACACCTGGGCCTAGCACAAGCCGGGCCGAACGAATTTCACGAAGCAGAATGGCACGAAGACCATCGAGGGTTCGCCGTGCCATTGAAGCCCTTTCGCGCAGAGCATCTCGAAATTGACCGGGATTTCAATCATCCTTGTGGCTCCCCTTAAGTGTTCATTCTTATTGAAGTCCCTTCTTTCCGGTTGGTGTTGTGATGCTGAAAATCCTAGCTTCGGAATCATCAGGACTGTATGTACTGGGGGAGGTTCCCTGGCCTCTGAATAAGAGCTATTCTGTGGGACAGCATATTAATAGGGTCCCAGAAGGTTCCAGGTTTCTACGGCCCTTTGCCGGGTTTGCATTTCATGTTACAACTTGATACAACCAAAGAAAGGGAAGTGCTGAAAGGTACCCCATAAGGGCTGTCTGAAGTTCAGTATGGGTTTAGTAGTGGGTCAAGGAAATCAAAAGGGTGGATTCAAACAATAGGAGGGATGAGTGGGGTCCTAGCGAGCAATCTGAAGTTGACATTAGAGAAGTTACAGTACGAGGCAAGCATTTTGATTGAACTTGAAAGCTCGGAGCAACCCTGGTGTTCTTCTTTCAACGGCTGTCCCACGCTTTGACACAGTGCTCGTCATCCTACGAAGAAATCGGGGTGGACACAAATGGCACCAGTTTGGGCATTTGTTAGCGTTATCTCTTTGTGCATGGGTGGTTTCATATCGCCACGCACAGCCTTGTGGCTCTGACGCAGAAGGTGATGACATTGGCACAGGTTTCAATTTCTGTGGATGCTTGGTTTGAAGGATCCAGCGCCCAAGGTGAGAGTCTCCCTGTGGCACAGGAGTGCAACCAATCTCCAGGATCTAGGCCCTTGCATGCGTGCAGCTGAAACGCTTGCAAGGTTCGGTGTTCTTTGATCCAGCGCCCAAGGTGAGAGTCTCCCCGTGGCACAGGAGTGCAACCAATCTCCTTGCATGGGTGCAGCTGAAACGCTTGCAAGGTTCGGTGTCTTGCAACCGGGAAAAAATATACATATATATAAACAAGCCATTTAAGCCACTGGAACAAGTGAATTTGCCAGAGCCTATGTCCTTTTTGGGGGCGATTGATGGTGACTATGCTCAAGGCGTTGACACTTCAGGTCGGTGAGTGTTTGTTTGCTGCCTGTCTAAATTGACCCAGACAGGAGCTGGAGCCGTCAGAGTCGGAGTTGGAAAATGTGTTTTACAGCTAGGTCACCTATGTGCCTTTTGCCTGGCACAAGTTGAAAAGGGAAACCTGAGGGTACATAGGACACCACTCAACCTCCAAACCACCAAACCAAAACACCAGTTAAGGGGGAGGCTGATTATAGGCTTTCCAACCAGCGACTCAGCGTCAACCCTTCCCTCAGCTTAAGCCCCTTGGTCTGGTTTCGTGAGCAGTCCGGTATGCCATAAGCATAGAGCGTATTGGGTTGTTCCAGGAGCATTGGCATATGGATTGAGTCACAATCGCAACCCCCACGGCAAGGGGTGCCCTTTGGTTTCGGTTTAAACGCCTTTTTACCCCAGCTCCTTTTAAAACCCCAAGCCTCCTTTTGAACCCTCCCTGCAAGCTCCGATGCTCTCCAGAGACTGGGGTTTTAGACCCATAGCTTCCAGCTGCTTCCCCCCTTGGAAAGGACACCAATGAGAGGAGCCCTGTGCTGGTGATCGGGATGTTCTGCTTTCTTGTGCCTGCTGTTTGACCATTGCTCAAATCGGAGGTTTATGCGCAGCGGCGCAGTGCATCTTTCGACATTGTTTCCCATGCTGCTGTGTAGGGCGCAGTCCTGGATTGCAAGTCTAGGTATCAGACTCGAAGTAGGGCGAGCAGGCTTGAATCGGCCTGATCTCTTTGCGCGCCCAAGGAGAATCGAGAGTCGGAGGAAGCGAACTGGAAGTGGATGAGCAACCGAGCGCCCAAGCTGCAAGAGATGCCAAGTAGCTCGGGCCTGATGATTTCAGCTGACATGATAACACGAGACTTCACCATGCAAACGTTGAATGTGATGAATGTGTTTTTCACTCCTCAGTGTATTCTTTTTTGCGTATTTGGCCAGTGCAACATTCGAATTTCAGGCGAACGCAGAGAAGCTGCAGAAGATGCTCGGAACCTGGAAGGCCCCGCATGAAATCCTGGACTTGCAGATGTTCCATGTCCTCTGATCAATCTACGAGAAATGTACATGTTTCGATTTAGAGTGGCAAGCCTATGGTAGCTCCAATGTAATCATCGCCCAGAGCCAAGGATGCTAGATATTTGCGTTATAGAGTCCATGCACACTTGTTGGGGATGTTCGAGTCGCTACTGTCCTTAGATGAGCGCTAAGACAACAATGGCTGGCTGAAAGAATCCATGGCTGTAACTGCGATTCTTTCGTTCGGTTCACTTGAACGGATCCAACAAGGGTACCCTCTGCGAAAGCTGCGAGTCTGGGCCCTTCAACTCCCGGTTGGATCGAGTGGTTCTTCTGGCTTGATGTCGAACAGAAATCAAACGAGAGCCATCCACGCAGTCAGGCAATCCCTTTTAGGGGTTGTTCAATCAGGAACTCAACATGAGGCCACCCAAATCGGATGTATCCCATATGTGAAAAGCCACCATGTCATGCTTTGCCACTTGCACAAGACACAAGACACAGACTAGTCTGTAGCTTTGATCTGGCCTAAGTTTGAGCGTGAATTGGTCGGGACCAGATAGATATCCTGAACAACTCGGATCCTGAGTTCCTGGTCTTTGGTCACTTTTCCGGTAGACCATTCTAATGGTAAACAAGCAGTTTGGTTGCTCTTTCTGACCAATCCAGTCGTTCGGAAGTGAGGCAAGGGGATCTATGTGTCAGGTGGACATCCTCCTTTGCGCTCGCCAACTTGAGACCCTGAAGGCTGGGACCAAGCGCGGTTCTTTTTGGGCGGGCACGGTAAAGCCTTTTGTTTCAGAGGCACGTGCTGTGCTTCTCCTTGGGCTTTAAAGAGAAAACGTGTTTGCAAACTGGTGTTTCTTGAGTATTGTTTATATTAAATCCATACGCAAGCGACAGTTTGACGAAACCCCTTTCATGGGAAAGTTGTTTGCTTACACGGGTTGGCAAGGGAAAAGCTTGTGGTCATTGTGTGGCCAACTTCTATGTGGTCTTCCATTACCCTTGAGCAAGGCCCAGCCTGCGATGCTTCCCTGTTGTTGTTGGAAGTGTGACGGTCATGCTTGTCAAGCATGTTGATTTGGAGTAGCACCAACTACCAACGCAAATGGGGGTAGTGAATGCGAGGCGTTAGCCCCAACGGAGGAAAAGGTTTTTCAATTGCTTTGAGGGGCCTCCAGATAGGCTCCAAGAGGCAAGGCTCAGTCTTCAGTGGCGCGCGGCTCACGGGATGCTCGCACGTTGGACCTGGACTGGGACATGTTTGCCCACGGAAACCAAGCATCCTCAAGGATCCAGCCAGATGCACTTAGTGTGTGTTTTCCCTTGCTAAGTCCTCAAGCAACTCCCTCGGGGGTGGGGGGGGGGTCATGTCATTTGGGGGTGTGGCTTTGGGCTTCGTTTTTCATTGTTTTGATAGAACATACATGGCGATTCCTGGCTGGCCTGGTTGTTTCACAATCCAGGAATCGCCATCAATTTTCCCACAAGGACACCTATTCAGACTTACCGTGTTTACCGATGTTCACCCATTTGCCCGTTTTGGCTCTTGTGTTTTAGATCGTTTGAGCTTGTTTGCGATTCCTTCAGTTGGGTGTGGGTCAAAAATAGGTACCCAAAATCGCTTGCCGTGGCAAATGGAAACATGGACTAAGACCTGCCGTCCAATTCCCGGTTATGTTGACCCACCCCCATTTCACCTTTCTCCAAAAGGGGACACCGATCCAGGCCGAGATCACCGACCGGAACAACAGCCTGGAGTCCTTCCAGGCAATGGAGTCTGCCGGTCATTGCTATTGGTGGGTTGGCTGGGGCCTTGCCAGTCAGTTGCCAGTGAGTCACAAGAGGAATCAGCAACAAATACTTGGTGACATGGGGGCAAGTCAAATCCAGGGACGCGTGATCTTAAGTATTCGAGAAGGCTCCATTGCGAAGGAAATCACCTGCATGGTAAAGGCCAGCGATTGGAAGGCAAAAGGATGCAAAAGGGCTGCAACCATGAGTC